AGCGGGTCCGGTCGGGGGTGCGGGCTCACTGCCTGTGGTGTAGGGGCGAGGGGCCCAAGATGGCGGCGGGGTACGCCCTTTTATCCCCCCGCCCTCACCTGAGGGTGCGGACGGGTTGCGGGGAGCGTTGCTGGGGGAGGGGGCCTGCGGCCTCTGGGGCGGGTACCCGGGTCTTGAGGGCTCGAAGTGGGCAGGCTCCCCGGCCCATCAGGAACGGTGGCTGCTGGCCCTGCGGGTTCAGGTGGGGCGTGCGGGACGTGCGACCCCGGCGCGGGCCGAGGGCCGAGGGTCCTCCCTCATGGGGAGTGGCCGGCGGCGCGTGTCCAGGTTTCTGGAATGTCAGAGCTGCCGGCGGGCCTCCCTCCCGGCCTGTCACTGGACAGGTGATGGCCATCCTTATCTCATTCTCAGCTGGCTTTACCACGCTGCTTTGTCGGGGGAGGGGCAGCTGGGTCGGAGTTCTCCCCCTAAACGGAGGTCCTGAGGAGTGAAGAGTTTCATGAGGGCCTCCCACCTGGGCGTAGTAGGACCTTCCACCTGTAACCCCCCCACTGTGTGCACGCCCTTCTCCCCCTACCGTTTCCAGCTTCTTTCGGAAGCAGGCGAGGGGTGGGGACAGGCAGCAGCGAGTGAGAGGATTGCTAGAAAGCCGGTCCCTCTGCTTTTGCTGAGCTGGGACCGACCGCCTGCCCCAGAGCAGCTTCTTGTTGCTGGTACTGCATCCCTCATCCCTTGTGTGTGCCAAGTTATTTCCATGAAAATAATGATTCAATTTCTCACTGAAAACCCACCGCACTGAACCAAATTCCAACTTATAGAGATGCACCCCAATCCGCTGATAGCTAGTAGATTCTGGCTTAGGGCAACCCTGTGGGCCAGAGTAGAACTGTTCCATTGGGTTTCTGAGATGATACATCTTTATGGGAGCAGCCAACCTCTTTCTCTCCCATGGACCAGCTCGTGGGCTGATGATCTTTTATTTCTTATCCCCCACCCCACCTCTCTGAACTGCAGTTGCAATTTTCTGTGTTTATCACACATTGGTTTAGGTCAAATATCCGTGGAAGCATAATCAGTGTTACTATACAAAGTGTTTTATAAATGTAATGTTTTGATGACTAGAAACCTAGATTTTAAAACAGTTTTGTCCTTAGGGTTTCATAGCGATTTGAGAATCACTATAACATTGATTCGATAGTAAAACTTTAATACCTCCTCCATTTACCTACTTTACAGGGATGTTTTGAAGATAAATAAAACGAAGGGGCTTGTGATTCTTCTTTCACCTTCACACCCTACCACAACACAACACATTTTTAAAGGAGAAGGAAGACCTCTTTGGGAGACACATGCGAGCAGTCTTTTAACACTTAGAAAGCGGTGGTGTTATTTAGTGGGAAGTTAAACAGAATTCTCTCATGATGTAATCTAATTTTCAATATCCACTGTGAAATCGGCATTTCTAATATTGCTTACAATATGGCTAGTGCAACAAAGAATAATTAATAAGCCCGCCTCATTATATATGGTGTTCAAAAACTCTTTAGTACGGCAAATTTCAAAATCTGTGCTGTGTTGCTCTGTGCTAGCTCTGGATTTGAATAATTGCTGCTACATAGGCAGTCCTGTCCTCCGAGAAACTCTCAGGCATCATATCATTTCATTAAGAAAGTTATCAGAACAGATAAACCCCTCAGGAACAGCAGTGGGAGTAGTGATACCATGAGGGTGTGGGGAGAAGGGGGAGAAACGGGGAGCCAACTACAATGACACAGTTCTCCCCCTCCCCAGGGGGGCAAACAACAGTAATGTGGACAAAGGGAGATAGCGGTCGTTGTAAGATATGAAAATAATAATTTATAATTTATCAGGGGTCCATGAGGGTGGGAGGGTGGGGGCGGGATGGAAAAAAGGAGCTGATACCAAGGGCTCAAGCAAAAAGAAAATATTTTGAAAATGATGAAGGCAACATGTACAAATTGTACATATGTGCTTGATACAATTGATGTATAGATTGTTACAAGAGCTATAAGAGCCCCCCAATAAAATTATATACCTATATATAAAAGCAGTATGTGTTATACAGAAAGCGGTAGTTTTGATATTTTCAGTGACGCATTCCAGTTTTTTTGGAGAGTATAAAATGCTTCTGGCTTAAGAATATTCATAGCTTTCTATATGGGAGTGATTTCCATGTAAAACATCATTAGTAATTTACAGTAGTATCTATATTGCTCTTCAAAACATTTGTGTTTCTCCCCCGCAAAAAAATCCACTTTATTGGGAGCTAATACAGATAACATTTCATAGTTCAATCACATCAAGCAGTACTGCATAATTGTGACCACAATCAGTTTCAAAACATGTTTATCCTTCTTGTGCTCCTTGACGTCAGCTCCCTTTTGCCAACCCCCCTACCATTGTACCCCAGAAACCCTTATTCGATTTGCTGCCTCTGTAGGTTGATAAAACATTCATTTTTAACATGACACATTTATTTTCCACTTAGCAAAGATGTGAAAAATTATTGATGGCTTAAGTGTGCCTACCACAGCAGTACTTAAAGTACTGGACTCGAGAAGGCAAGCATTCAAATTGCCTTAAGCATCAGAGAAGACGAAAACCTGGGTAATGATACTGTGGACATTGGAGAGGATTTCCCTACAACATCATGGCAAACATGACAATAATCCATAGAAGTACTGTCTTAGCTTTAGCTAGGTCTGAAGACCAAACCTGTTGACGTTGAGTTGATTCTGGCTCATAGCTACCCCACAGGACAGTAGAACTGCCTCATAGGGGCTCCCAGACGGTACTCTTGATGGAAGCAGGCTGCTACATCTTTCTGTCATGGAGAGGCTCCAGAACTCAAATTCACTGCCATCACGTCAAGGCTGACCCATAGTGACCTATAGAGGTTCTCTCACTCACTGCCATCAAGCCGATTCTGACCCATAGCGACCCTATAGGACAGGGTCAAACTGTCTCTGTGGGTTTCTGAGATTGTAGCTCTTTACAGGAGTAGAAAGCCTCATCTTTCTATCTGATAGAGACTTTAAAAAGCAAATTCATTGCCATCAAGTCAATTCTGACTCATTGAGAGCCTATAGGGTAGAACAGGACTGCTCCTGTGAGTTCTCGAGACTGGCATTGAAAGTCCCGCCTCCATTCCACAAAGCTGGCTGGCTGGCAGTTTTGAACTGCTGACCTTGCAGTTACCAGCTCAACTTGAAACCACTACACCCTCAGGGCTCTTCCTATAGAGCAGTGGTTCTCAACCTTGTACCCCCCCCAACCATAAAATTATTTTCGTTGCTACTTCATAACAGTAATTTTGCTACTGTGATGAATCGGGCGACCCCTGTGAAAGGGGTCGCAACCCACAGGTTGAGAGGCGCTGCTATGGAGGCTAGTGGGTTTGAATTGTGGACCTTTCAGTTAGCAGCTGAGTGCTCAACCACGGCAGCATATTGCTGCTATCAGGCTGCTGTATCACTTTGGGCCAGCTTACCTGCCTACCCTTTCAGAACATGTGTATCCAAATTCAGATGAAGGAAGAGAGGCCTCACCTGGCACCAATCTTCACATTCCCCTCTCTAGGGTTCTCAGGTGTCTCACTGGCATCCTGGCCCTACAGGGCAGGGTAAGATGAGAATTCTGTTCACCATAGGCTTGTTCAGAGAGCGGGGCCCAGGCTGCCCGGTGTTCCTTTCTGCCTGGCTGATGTCTTCTGACTGTGCTGCATTTTCTTGTTGGCCATTGTTTTCTTAAGCCCAGAGTCTTCCAGCTTTCATTTATTTGAATCGGCTCCACCGCAAGTAACAGCAATAACATCACTATTTTGCCATATTATTATTTGTTATATTACCTGATAATTCATATAGATGTTATAAGAGAACTTTTAAACCAGTAAAAAACTGGTTCTATTTAAAGAAAAATATGATGTAAATAATAGTACATGTGGTGCTTAGTTATGGCACATACAACAGTAATAATTGAATGAAATGTTTGAAATTCTGGGTTAGGAGAAAGCTTTTTTCCTTTTTAAAAAGAAAACAGTTTTATTGAGATAAAAGCCACCCTCATAAACTATACAATTCAGTGCCATTTTTGTTGTGTAAAATGCATCCCTTTTTCTTTTAATTCCATTTTCTCACCAATTTTTTCGAACCCTCTCGTATATAATAAACACTTGTCACCTCGCGTTTTCTTTTTACATGCACACTTCAGTAGCATTAATTATGCTCAGTGCACACATCACCACTATTTGCTTCCAGAATTTTCTATCATCCATAATGGAAACTCCTCTCCCTTTCCTTCTGCCCCTGGTTCTAGGTTTTTCATAGAATTAGCATGAGTGCTTTTTAGTTTCTATGATTGGCATTGACTCGATGGCAGTGAGTTTGGTTTTGGTTTGGTCAGTGTATTCACAAGTGGTGAATCCACACAATTTACTTTGAGAACATTTTTGACAACTATGAAGGAAACCACATTTCCATTCTTGGCCACCCATCCCTCTGCCCAGGCCCCTAAACCCAAACTAAAGCAGTTGCCCAGAGTCCATTTCTTCTGACGGCAACTCCACAGGTGCAGAGTTCAACTGCTCGCCATAGTTTCCAAGACTGTGATCGTTTGTAATCAGATCACCAGGCCTTTCTTCCCAGGCACTGCTGGGTGCGTAGCTGAGGGCTTACATTGTTTACAACATCCAAGGACTCCGCCCCCAGCTCCAGGCAACCTCTAATTTACTTTCCATCCCAGTGGATTTGCCTCTTCTGGGCATTCCACCTAAGTAGAATCAGACGATATACGACCTTTTGTGCATAGCTTCTTTCACTTGGAATGTTTTCAAGGTTCAACTGTTGTCGCTCGTTCCTTGTTATAGTGGAATCGTGTGTCATTGCAAGGCTACACTACTTGGTGTTGCCCTGCTTTGGCTATGATGAATAATGCTGCTGTGAAGACTCATG